TTCCATTTTATTACATGCACTAAAGCACAATAACTGTAAAAGCTACCTGCCACTAAATAAACTGTAAATTAAAATCTATGGTAAGGTTTCACTCAACTAAAACTAACAGTAAAACATAATGTGCCTCAACTGAATGCTATTAAACTCCCTGTTTAAAAATATTGTTATCACCTTAGAGATCTGTCAAGTAAAAAAATAATCATTAGGCACACCAAGGCAATTTCACACTTCCGCTACAAAGCACACCATCAGATGCCCCCATGAACTGTAGTGGAACTCCAAACATCAAGCTAGTTAAAAGAGTCCAGTAACATAGGTTTGCTTTATGCAGTAGTGGTAGAGACAATGTTTTGTTGCTGCTATAGAGCTTCTTTTAAATTTATTTTTTTAAGACTATAATATAGTGGAAACGTTGTCATTACATTGATCCAGTTAAAGTCTGCATAAAGCCAACCTGTGCCCTAACCCATCTTTTAACTTTTTCAATTTTCAATTTAATGATGTGACAGTGACGTTGCACAAAATTCTTCTGGTTGCCAGGCAGATTGACTCTGTGCCCTGGTATTGGGTAGACTGTTGTACACTGCAGTGCCAGCACTTGGAATGAGATTCAGGGTATTTATGCCTACACACTCCAGATGTGTTCAGGATATGGACACCAGTTATTGGTTGCTGTGCTGGATAAGGTTTTACCCTGATGCATATAGCACTTGGTGACATGTTCCTTTGAGCCTATTATCTATGAAGCTAATATTGTTACACATCTGCTCTTGTCCAGCCCTGCAAAGTGCTGCTTTTGCTACAGCATTGAAATAAACATACACAGGTTATATAAAGATATTTAAAATTGTAGCTCAAATGACCTGGAGGGCAATCACAAATTTAAAAAACAATGCAAGGGCTTTCTTGAAGATACTATGATAGTTATCCATTTAGTACTCAAGATGTTGTGGGCTACATATCCAGTGTTTTGCCAGCATTATGACTGTACATGAGAGATGCAGTTTACAACATTAGGAGTGCCAAAGCTTGCCAACCCCAGACCAGGGAGGGAAAACACAGGACCACTAGGGATAACCTGCAATGTAAATTCGAAGCTAGCTTAGGAGCAGAATATATAACAAATTATATTTTCAGTATAAATTAGACTTCAAAAATAAAGTATAATGACATAATAGATTCATCTGGGATTTATCTGTGAATTCTTATTCAATCAATGTTATGGCATGGATTTGGAAGAACCAAACCAGGGGATTTTTTGCACAATTCTACTGGTAATGCACACTTGTCCTTTATACTCCATAAATATAGCACATAACTTTGTTTAGAATACTGTTGAAACTATTCGCAAAGTAAGCCAGAAGAGGAACTAAAACCCCCCTCCCCTGTGTGATAAATCTGTGTTTCAGAGTTTCTCAACAAATTGGCTTTAGCACTACATTGTACTATGGGCCATTTGGAAAGTTGGCAATTTTGCTCTCAACAACCATATTGAAAGACATTCAAATGAGGTTTATCTGCATGGGCCTAGGGCATAGACTGCTCTTATGTGGATTAATGAATACTGGACAATAGGGACAAGGACCACATTGTTATTCATGCATAAGGCCCCATGCAACCCCTATTGACAAAGTTGGGAAATGCACAAACATGTACATGAACATTTCAAAATGTAGTAGAAGAGGGATTTGTATGAAAGGCAATAATAAGACAAAGAAAAAGTATTTTTCCATGTAACAATCCATATGTCTTGCTATTAAGTACCTTTCCTAGCCTCCCACTCTTCTCCTCCTAGTCCCCATGTGCATTCTTTATATTATGTTGTCCCACTTATTTGTTTTTTGCCGAATCTCCACCTACCTACTCCTGCCTCCCTGTACCCTTTTCAGTTTCTCATTATCCACATAGTCCCATGCATTACTAAACCTTAGCATAATTCCCATTGTCAGTGTCCTCCTCAACCTTCTCTTTGAATGCTCCTCTACAAGGAGAACTGGTTATGCATAACTTGACTAAGTCCTATTTATATGATAATTTTGTTTATGCATTGTGCATGTTAAAAGACAACAAAGTGCATAAATACTAATGGACACCTTAATAATGTTTCAACAGTGATGCTTTCATTCTTTAAGATGAAAAATCATTGTATACCTGCTACAGACAAACACAAAAACTATTTTAGGGCTCAATCTGCAGCGAAAATGCTACATAAAACCTCACAAGTAGCAATGTACAAATTTTGTCCATGCAAAACTGCTATTTTTTTTTTTTTACCACAAAATTGAACGTGTGAATAGTGTGAAAAGTATATCATATACTTATCTCATATTAAACAGGACAGTCTCCCACTGATCACCTCCCAAATGGTAATCTCACATCAACCAGAATAGGAACAACACAAAAATATATGGGAAATGACTGTATATTCTAAAAGAGAACATAAAACGGAAATAGTGTAATAAAATTAAGAGTTATGTAGATGCGCTGTTAATCAATGCACTTACAGAATTGTCTCCAATAATCAAGACCAAACCCAAACCATTATTTTTTAACCCAGATTTTTTCCTAGACTTTTTTGTTTTTTCATGATCTTCTAGATTGATTTACTATTATCAACTTTTCCCTTGTGTATATAAAAGTTGATATATACTTTCTATATTTGTGTCCTCTTCTTTCAACAATATGTCATAATTATCTGACTCCCAATATACTTCAACACAAATAAATTGAACCCACATAAGGTTTGGTTTTGAGTTTATTGTTGGAGACAGACATTTTTCATACAGATGTGTGGTTAGATATATTTATTTAATTTTTTTTGTTTTTTTGTTAATTCATTGGATATTGAGAACATAAGAATATTTTATTATGATCACATTTGCATGAACATATTTTGTTTATTTAGCACTGTTCACTTTAAATATATGGGTCACTTTATGATACGAATGACAATGCACAAAAGAATATGAAAAATGTTCTATTAATGATCTGCACAGCATGATAATAACACAATGTTAAATAATTACATTTTAAAATATACCAGCACGGGTTACTCTGGTTGTTTCGATTGCTTTACATTGAGGTTATTATCCTGTAAAAGATATGAATTGTATTACTGACATAAGTATATATTATCATCTTATGTTATTACTTGGGAGTAATTACAATTCTCTTTAGCAGATCTACACTAAGAACCCCATTTAAGTTTTTATAGATTGCATGTCTCACAACTACCACCAGAGGTCGTACTTTCTGTCAGCTGACCCTCCAGTGGAAAGCACGGCCATATTCGTTCTGATACCTGTGAATGGAACGCACAAAAGTGTTGAATGGAACGCACCTCTGGTTACGGTTTCTAACAGCCGTCCGTGCACCAGCTGGAAAGGAGGATGAGAGATCCATAGGAGATTTCAGTGATCCACAGGAGATTTCAGTGATCGGATAACGATGGAAGAAAGACGCCCATGGAACCAGCAATGGACTTAGGGGCTCGCTCTATTTAAGAGGACTTGCGGGTGGGAATGGTTAGGCTGCTTTATTTTATTTTGTAGGCTATTGTTACATATATTGATTTCAAGGTCCCTGAGAAAGTCCTAAGTTTTTGGACAAAACGCGTAGGACCGTACCTTGCATTTTATTACATTGGGGATTGTTCACCTTTTATTTTTTAATAAAGCAGCATTTTTTACCTTTCATCTGGAATCTTGCAATATACTTGGACTGAGGCGTGGGTTGATAGTCCCCCATCACAATTGGGAAAGGAACCCTTGGGCTATTTTAACACCTGCATTCTATGAGTGCATTGATTAACAGAGCATCTATATAACTCTTAACTGTATTACACTATTTCTGTTTTATGTTCTCTTTTAGAATATACAGTCAATTCCCATATACGTTTTTGTTGTTCCTTTTTTTTGGGGGGGGAATTGGAACGGCGGTGGGGGGAGAGCAGGGTTCCCATCCTGTTGGCTCCCAAACTCCTGCGAAGAGCTGTGTCAGTGCCGCAAACTCCAGCAAGGTCAACTGAGGCACACTTAAGATAGCGGGTGTCATGAGTGCCCCAGAACCAAGAAGAGAGGCAAACACTATTTACCAATGATTAGATGCACTCTTTGACGCATTCCGGAGGAAGCTGGATAGTAGACTGACCTTACCTGAGGCAGAGGAGGTTCCTGCGACACGGTACCTAAACCGCATTCCCAACCCATAAGGCAGTCCCCACCAGCATTCAAGGTGGCGGAGGTTGCACCGGCGCACAAAGAGTTAGGCTTTACACCTGCAGGCACTAAAGCTGCGTCCCTCCATACAAATCATGACAGAGAAGTGGAGAATGGGAGAGGAAAGTACCTTCAGCCACAGACCCCATCAATGCCACCTTCAGCACTGAGCCTGCAAATAATAATAAAAAAATAAAAAAAGACACAACTACATCACAGGTGTATATAAAAGTCACAATGTTATTTTTTGTTCAAATGTAATTGGCTAAATTCTTATTTATTTGATAAGTAGCCCTGATAAAAATTGTATGATTAAATCCTGTCCCTTAAACTGCAACCTGCAATAAATTATTTTCTTTTGACCAATGCAACATTATTTCTAATGACATTGATTGCCCCTGCCTTTTAGTAGAAGAAATGCTCTGTAATATGTGATCATAGAATGTGATGGCAGATAAGAACCAGTCCCATCTAGTCTGCCCAATTTTCTAAAAATACTTTCATTAGTCCCTGGCCTTATCTTATAGCTAGGATAGTCTTATGCCTATCACACGCATGCTTAAACTCCCTCACTGTGTAAACCTTTACCCTCGCAGTAATGTAATACTTCCTGATATTATTTTTAAACCTTTGCCCCTCAAATTTAAGACTATGTCCTCTTGTTGTGGTAGTTATTCTCCTTTGACATATGGTCTCCTCCTTTACTGTGTTGATTCCCTTTAAAATGTTTGACATTAACTATTTTTTACACAGACCAATTGACATATTAGCTGCCTAAGGCAAAGGTTCCACTGAGATTTGAACTTGGAAAGCTGGATTCAGAGTCCAGAGTGCTAACCCTTACATAATGGAACCACTGCTAATCATATAATGCGTGTTCGGAATACAGGGCCGTTTCATATCTGATCTTATGTTAACTATCTAAGCCAATGGAATATCCGGTCATAAATAATTCTGGAACTAGACTAAACAGTTTATATTATTTATGAGTTCATTCAGGCATGTACTATGGAAGGTCAGAATGAAAAGACCCCATCATCCTTATGCGTAAAACTGACTTTTTAAAAATTCTACAATATAAAATGTTTTGCGCTATCCCCTTCCAAAACAAGGGGGGCAAGATTTTATTTCCCAGGATTACATTTTTTTTTGCCAGTAAAGTGAGCTCTTTCGTGCATATGCAATTTTTCCATTGCTTTTCTTTTTCTTTATATTATTATTGTTTTTATCACCATCAGTCCACATTAAGCAGTGAAGGGTTCATTTATAAGTTCATGCTCATCATAAAGGGATTTTACAAAACAAATATTTCTTGTTCTTTTTACATCCTGGTCAGGTGCTTTGGTAATGGCCGCTCCATACAACAGTGAAGATTTGACCAATTCAGCTGAATGTTACTCTGTGGAAGGGCCTTGTACACTGTACCGATGCTTATCATTAAGTTCGGTTGTCTCCCATGCTAACAGGTAAGTACCAAGTAAATTAAAAATTAAAACTAAAATTAAAGTTATTGGCATACAATGTAGGTAGTCACCAGCTAATTTTACAGAAGCTTCAACTGTCTAAGAGTTGTGCTAAGAGCTTTCTTTTCTACTGTTACAGGTAAGATTCATCTGTAGGAAAAGGTTACTGATTGCCCAAGGTTTGAATTCCTGTTGGTAATTATAAGGCATTTGATTTGATTAAGCTAGTTACTTGCTGTTGATTGCTGGTTAATTAGCTATTGTTTGCAAATAAGCAGAGGCCTACCCGGGTGTTAAACATTCCTAGTGGGCGGTGATTTAAGGAGTTATATAAGGCTTGGTCTCATTAGCTTGTCTAATATAGCTTGGTGCTACTTCCAAGTGCAGTTTCTAAGTGTCTAGTTGGAGGTATTCTGGAGAGTTTTACAGAAGCTTCAACTGTCTAAGAGTTGTGCTAAGAGCTTTCTTTTCTACTGTTACAGGTAAGATTCATCTGTAGGAAAAGGTTACCGATTGCCCAAGGTTTGAATTCCTGTTGGTAATTATAAGGCATTTGATTTGATTAAGCTAGTTACTTGCTGTTGATTGCTGGTTAATTAGCTATTGTTTGCAATAAGCAGAGGCCTACCCAGGTGTTAAACATTCCTAGTGGGCGGTGATTTAAGGAGTTATATAAGGCTTGGTCTCATTAGCTTGTCTAATATAGCTTGGTGCTACTTCCAAGTGCTGTTTCTAAGTGTCTAGTTGGAGATGTTCTGGAGAGTTTTACAGAAGCTTCAACTGTCTAAGAGTTGTGCTAAGAGCTTTCTTTTCTACTGTTACAGGTAAGATTCATCTGTAGGAAAAGGTTACTGATTGCACAAGGTTTAAATTCCTGTTGGTAATTATAAGGCATTTGATTTGATTAAGCTAGTTACTTGCTGTTGATTGCTGGTTAATTAGCTATTGTTTGCAAATAAGCAGAGGCCTACCCAGGTGTTAAGCATTCCTAGTGGGCGGTGATTTAAGGAGTTATATAAGGCTTGGTCTCATTAGCTTGTCTAATATAGCTTGGTGCTACTTCCAAGTGCTGTTTCTAGTGTCTAGTTGGAGATATTCTGGAGAGTTTTACAGAAGCTTCAACTGTCTAAGAGTTGTGCTAAGAGCTTTCTTTTCTACTGTTACAGGTAAGATTCATCTGTAGGAAAAGGATACTGATTGCCTAAGGTTTGAATTCCTGTTGGTAATTATAAGGCATTTGATTTGATTAAGCTAGTTACTTGCTGTTGATTGCTGGTTAATTAGCTATTGTTTGCAAATAAGCAGAGGCCTACCCAGGTGTTAAACATTCCTAGTGGGCTGTGATTTAAGGAGTTATATAAGGCTTGGTCTCATTAGCTTGTCTAATATAGCTTGGTGCTACTTCCTTCTAAGTGTCTAGTTGGAGATATTCTGGAGATAACCTGGAGGTAATCTGAGGTATTCAGGAGGATAAAGAAAAAAGTTAAGATTTGTTAGATTTAAATTATTCTCATAATTGGAATGGCAGGCTTAGTTCACTGTAACAATTGCTATGCATTTGTTTCACGTTCCACTTTTTGGAGGTTTGGTTGTTGTCTAATCTGTAGACAGTTCTCTATCTTGCGGCAGGAGATTGTATTTTTGAAGTCTGAGATTTGTAAATTATCTGGGGTAGAAACTCAGACTGGAACTGCTGCAAAGCCACTGCCGCAGAGACATGCTAGGAAAGGCAGATGGATTACTGTAGGATCTGGTAGACTTAGAGTTGTGGATAAAAGGCATTTTGCACAGTCTGTTGCTCTTCATAATTCATTTTCTGCACTTTCAGAGTGTAATAGTGTTGTGGAGAGAGGCACTGAGGCTAGTGGTGTTGTGGAGAGAGGCA